TTCTCCAATGCGTTCGTCCTCGGGATTGGTTTGCAGTCAAAGACCTGAAGGATGCGTATTTCCATGTCTCCATTTTTCCACGCCACCGCCAATTTCTGCGGTTTGCGTTCGAGGGTCGAGCGTGGCAGTACAAGGTCCTGCCCTTCGGGCTTTCTCTGTGCCTTAGCGCCCCTTCGGCTCGCGGGCATCCGCATACTCAATTATCTCGACTACTGGCTGATTGTAGCCCACTCGCGGGAGCAATTGATTATGCACAGGGACAAGGTGCTTCGGCATCTCCGCCTACTGGGGCTTCAGGTCAACCGAGAAGAGAGCAAACTCTCCCCTGTGCAGTGGATCTCTTTTCTCTGGATGGAGCTGGACTCGATCACCATGGTAGCGCACTTCTCCGAGGAACACGTTCGTCTGTTGCTGAACTGTCTGAGAGAGCTCGACAGCAAACTAGTGGTCCCACTGAAGTTCTTTCAGAGGCTCCTAGGGTATATAGCATCCGCAGCCGCCGTCACGCCGCTCGGATTACTCCATATGAGACCACTTCAGCACTGGCTTCACAATCGGGTCCCAAGACGCGCATGGCACGTGGGCACACACCGGGTCTCTGTTACTGCGCTGTGTCGCCGTGCCCTCAGCCCTTGGAACGACCCTTCGTTCCTACAGGCCGGTGTGTCTCTAGGACAGGCATCCAGCCATGTTGTTGTTGTTTCAATGGATGCTTCCAACACGGGCATGCAGCAGCGGGCCTGTGGAAGGGTGCCCAGTTGCCTTGGCATATCAATCACTTAGAGCTGTTGGCAGTGTTCCTTGCTCTCCACCGCTTTTTACCGGTGCTGGAGCGGCAACACGTGTTGGTCAGGACGGACAGTACGGCAGCGTATATCATCCACATGGGGGGTATGCGCTCTCGCCGCATGTCTCAGCTCGCCCACTGTCTGCTCCTCTGGAGTCACCCGTGGCTGAAATCGCTACGCGCCATTCACGTTCCAGGCACGCTCAATCGTGCAGCCAACAGCAGTTACACCCTGGAGAATGAAGACTCCACACCGAGTCTGTTCAGCTGATATGGGCGCGATTCGGGGAGGCCCAGATTGATCTGTTTGCTTCCCCCAAGAACGCTCATTGCCAGTTGTTTTTTCCCTGACCGAGGGCTCTCTCGGCACGGATGCACTGGCCCACAGCTGGCCTCGGGGCATGTGCAAGTATGCGTTTTCCCCAGTGAGCCTGCTCGCGCAGTTACTGTGCAAGGTCAGGGAGGACGAGAAACAGGTTCTGCTAGTTGCGCCCCTTTGGCCCAACCAAAGGCCCTCCCCTGGCGGATCCCTTTGAGAGGGGACCTACTCTCTCAGGGACAGGGCACCATCTGGCACTTTCCTTAGACGCGAGGAAGACTTGGGTAACCTACCGACTGCGGTGGTTAATACCATCACTCAGGCTAGAGCCCCCTCCACGAGGCGTGCCTACGCCCTGAAGTGGAGTCTATTCACTGAATGGTGCGTCTCTCGCAGAGAAGACCCCTGAAACTGCCAGATCAGTGTTGTGCTCTCTTTCCTTCAAGAGAAGTTGGACAGAAGGCTGTCGCCCTCCACTCTCAAGGTTTACGTGCCCGCCATCTCCGCTTATAACGCGGTAGCTGGCGTCATCGTGGGAAAGCATAACCTCATCATCCAGTTCCTTAGGGGTGCTAGGCGAATTAATCCATCTCGCCCCCCTCTCATGCCCTCTTGGGATCTCACCCTCGTTCTCACGAGTTTGCGAGCAGATCCCTTTCAGCCATTCAATTCAGTATCTCTAAGATTTCTGTCCCTGAAGACAGCTCTGCTGGTCGCGTTGGCCCCCATCAAGAGGGTCGGTGACTTGGAGGCATTTTCGGTCAGTAACTCGTGCCTGGAATTCGGGCCGGATTACTCTCACGTTATCCTGAGACTACGCCCGGGTTATGTGCCCAAGGTTCCTACCACCCCCTCCAGAGATCAGGTAGTGAACCTGCAATTGCTGCCCCCGGAGGAGGCAGACCCAGCCCTTTCTTTACTTTGTCCAGTTCGCGCTCTGCGCATTTATGTGGACCGTACTCAGAATTTTAGATAATCTGAGCAGCTCTTTGTCTTTTATGGCGGTCGGCAACAGGGAAGTGCCGTATCGAAACAAAGATTATTCCACTGGATTGTGGATGTCATTTCACTCGCTTATTCGAGTCGAGGTCAGCCGTGTCCCCCGGGAGTGCGTGCACACTCCACTCGGAGCGTTGCATCCTCTTGGGCACGTGCACGCGGCGCCTCTCTAACAGAGAGCTGTAGGCTGGGCGACACCCAACACATTTGCAAGGTTTTACAATCTGCGAGTGGAGCCGGTTTTCTCAAGGGTATTGGGTAACCCTTTGGTGCTTGAGGAAACAACTCAGTAGGGTGTTAGAACACGCTTGCTGCGCCATTCTCCCTAAGACGGAGATACGTGTGCCTTTTTATCTGTCAGTAAAGTTCCACCTCAGGTGAGCCCTGCAGATTCCTTCGTGGCCCCCAGCACTGACTCAGCGGTGGAGTCACTTGCTGGCCCACTACGTTGTAGGTCTGCCTGCTGGTCAGCCTGCGTTTTGGGTATAGGTGCCTGCTATGCATGATCCCCACTAGGCGATCCCATATGCTTATTCCACCACTGTTAAGTCCCCCCCCTGGGTGGACCCGTGTCTTCCCTCTCCGCTAACCACTTTTTTGCTATGCGTACTCCCCCTTTTTAGGGCTAGTCCATATGTAAATTCTGCCATTTATCCCCCCTTGGGTAACGGATGGCCTCCGCAGCATCCTCCCTATCGGGATTGCACACTTCCAAATGTACTGTCGTATTTTCCTAGAATTATCTAGATGCTCACGACTTCCCAAAAATATATCTAAATCCGTAAGACTTCTGTTGAAGTAGGATAAATTAGGGCCTGGGACACGTTGGAGGACCGCGCCTCCCATGATGTGGGTGCGTCACGCTTGCTTGACTATCCCCTCATCGGGGGTGTTGGTAAGGTGCAGTCATTATGGCGCTTTCCATAGTTCTCCCATACGTGGATTTTCCCAAAGATCAAATCCACTGTATAGCACTGAAGTTCCCCAACCGAAGGGGAACGTTCGAGGTTACAGAAGTAACTCTTTGTTTCCCGAGGAGGGGAACGGAAGTGCTATACTCCGTCGCCATAATGACTGTCCCTTAGCTGTTTGAAAGTCTCTTCAGCTTAAAAGGATGGCGTTTGCTCGCTCTAGGTGTGCTTATATGCTGGGATAATTGGCAATGCAGCACACCTGTGCAAGCTTACGCTGCCAATTCATTTCATTCATTGGCCCGTTCAATACTCTTCAGACAAGCGGCTTCTGATCCGAATCCTCCCATATGTGGATTTTCCCAAAGATCAAATCCACTGTATAGCACTCCCGTTCCCCTCCTCGGGGAATGAAGGGTTACTTCTGTAACCTCGAACGTTCTCTTATATATCAGTTTTACCTTCATAGTAACAAATAATATCTTGAAATTGAAAGGGTCTGGAAGAAGCAATGTAATTACCTCTATGGAGATAAAAGCTATTCCAAAAGCTTTTAGTGTTTTCACATTGAAAAAATGTGTATCAGCGTTTCGTCCTCACTTTTACAAAATGTTCATAAACTATCAACCTCCCAATACTTTGCCAAAGTACTATTCACTGAATATATTTTATGAAGAATTCTAAATTGAACCCCTTTTGTTTTATTGGGAATGCAGTATTTATAAGGTAACAGCCAAGCTTTTTTTCCAGTCTATTAGGTCAATGAAGGATGCCAAATAAAATTTGCCCATAGGAACATTATACTTTTTATTTTGAAAAATTTGTTGAATATATTTATTATTACATCTTTTGTCAAATATACTAATTTCATTTAAGATCAGCTCTTGTTCTTTAATCGCATTTTCATTAAACATTAAATGAGATTTTATAAGTTGAATTAAGCCCAAGGGAATTGCTTTTTGCATAGCATTAAATTCTTTAAAAGGTAATGGAAAATTATTATTAGACAAATTTTTCATAAGACAAGAAGTTCCCAGACTTATCAAAAATTGAGAGAATCCCAATTATATTTCTGTTAAACCATGTGGATAGAAAAATAGATTTATTTCCAATTCTAATATCAGAGTTTTTCCATAAAATGCATTTATGTGGTGAGAAATTGTGGGAATAACACAATTTCCTGGAAAGAAGAACCTGCTGCTGAATTTTTGGCAGTGCAAATGGCATTTTATTTGGTAGATAATTACATTTTAAATTAAAAGGAAGATCTCAAATTTTTGTGAAAGCATAATTAAAAAAAAAAAACATATAGAGTTAGGGTTTTTTAAGCATCTTTTAATCATAAAATTTATTCATTTTAAAGTGTTTACTATGTCCTCAAAGTCTAACACTTTAAGTCCACCCTCATTTTGATTATTTGCTAGAACTGTTTTCTTAAGTTTGGGATTTACTTTTCCTAATAAAGTTAAGAAATATTTTGTTAACTTCTTTAGCGGTAGGGATATTAACAGAGAGAGAAAGTAAAGGGTATATTAAAACGAGATAAACCTTCTGCTTTGGTCAAAAAAACCCTCCCATAAAGGTAAAGGTCTCTTTTGAGCCAAAGATTAAAAATGTTATGAGTTTTTGTCTAGTGTTTTAAGCTGTTGTCTAGTGGCAAAATTTTTGTTAAATAAATACCCAGATACTTTACTGTCTCTTTTACTAAAATACCATTGGTAACACTTTAGAATATCTATTCGTTACAACTAGTTAATAGATCATTAACAAACTGTTAGTTAAAGGGCACCTATAGTAAAAAATCTACTTTTCAAGCTGTTTGGACAGATCTGTGTGTTGGTATAGTGTATAGACCGTCATACTGGGGTGATATGAACACACCCAGTCCTTTTTTTTTTCAATTTAACTACAAAAAAAAAAGGGTCGGCCAATTAGAGCTATTTTTAAATCGATCGCACCATTACGTAGGTGTGCGTTTTTTTTTTTTTTTTTTTTTTTCCCCGCCCACCGAATTTATTGACAGCTTCGCGTATTAATATATCCTGAGTTTGTCGTTTCCGCCATTATCAGCGTGTAAGTCGAAGCGATGCCACCAAGAGAACACCCTTGTGCTTTTTTAGGATGTAAGGCTCAGCACAAGAGCCTTCACTGCAAATGAGCAACAGAGGCTTAAGTGGCTGAGTTTTATCTTTGAAGACAAGGTGCCTGAAAATGTACCAAAACTGATGTATGTTTGTGCTAACCACTTTAGCGTAGACTGCCTCGAGAACGCGGGACAATACAACTCCGGATTCGCGAGTAAATTGTTTCTGAAAACTGGATCAGTTCCCACAATACGTGATCCTGCCTCACTTAAAATAAGTATTACATTTTCTGTACTTCTAGCCTCAGCATTCTAATAATGTTAAGCCGAAATGAATAGCATCTGCGGCTAAAGTAGCTTCGGATGTTTGTTTGCACGTGTTTACCTCTTATTGTGCTTTTCTAAAACTTTTTGTGCTTTTCTAAGTCTAAATACTCGAAGCTGTAAATGGTAATGTGTAAATGAAGGGGGTTTAGCCATTAGAAACAGAAACCGTAGAAAAATAGCAACATTGTAATAAGCAGTACCACTGGCTACAGCTAAAGTTTGTTGTGTATGTGGGATGTTTGTTGTACTGTAATGGTAAGCCGAAATGAATAGCATCTGCGGCTAAAGTTGCTTCGGATGTTTGTTTCCACGTGTTTACTGCTATTATGCTTTTTTTTTTAAAAACAGTCTAAATAATCGAAGCTGTAAGTGGTAATGTGTGTACAAGAAGGGCTTTTAGCCATTAGAAACAGAAAACGTAGAAAAATATAAACATTGTAATAAAGCAGTAACCAGTACTGGCTACAGCTAAAGTTTGTTGTGTATGTGGGATGTTTGTTGTAATGTGGATTCTGTAATGTTAAGCAGAAATGAATAGCATCTGCGGCTAAAGCTACTTCGGATGTTTGCGCGTGTACTGCTATTGTGCTTTTCTAAAACAGTCTAAATACTCGAAGCTGTAAGTGGTAATGTGTACATGAAGGGGTTTTAGCCATCAGAAACAGAAACCATAGAAAAAATTAAACATTGTAATAAAGCAGTACCACTGGCTAAGTTACAGCTAAAGTTTTTGTATGTTTGATGTTTGTTGTAATTTTTTCACTGTACTTGCACGTGGTCTGCAGTTGTTTACAATAAGATCGGTATGTTTTCAGCGAATAAAGGTCATTTTAAAAAATGTATGTTTTCTTACAAAGGCCACGACGTCGACACAGAGCAACAAGGTGGATGTTGCTTGCCAGACGGAACCATTTCACACATCTTTACACAGTGTTGGTACCCAGTTGTCTTTTAGGACGCTTCAGGCCAAACGCAGGAGTACAAGTAAGTTAAAATTTCTCAGTTTATTTTAAGTTGCTGCATTAGAAACGTGTTTTATTATCTTTATAAACGTGCAATGAGATTAATCATAAAATTACACTATAGGTGTCCAGACAACAGTATCCAGTTTTGAACTGACTGTACCATCAGCGTCCTCTACTGCGTTTATGACTTCGACACCCCTCAAACCTTCATTAAAAAACCTCGTCTGGAGCTGGAAGAGGAGGATGAGGAAGAAGAAGAAGCCGAAGAGACTTTAACAGAGTCAAAAATTATAGCCCAAGACTCTGATGTGACATTTGACCCTGCAGAGGAATACACATCTGCAGCTGAACCAACAGACTTGTCGTGAGTTTATGCATTAAGTAAATTATTTGCAAGATTGTGTATTGTCAATATAACATTCATCATCTTTTTTTAATTATGTACATGTGTATATTTTTTTTACAGAATCCAAGAATGCCCAGTTCATAACATTGCCAAGTTCATTGTCTATGAAACATGCGTCATGGAGCTCTTCAGTGACTGCCCAGTGTGTCACAGGAGATGTGATGTAAAGTCACAAAGGCTTGGGACATTTCTGAGCGTACAGCAAGTCTGCCCACACTGCGAGTTTGTAAGAAAATGGAACAGTCAGCCAATTATTGGTAGTACTCCAGCTGGCAACCTGCATCTTTCTGCTGCAGTCTACTTGAGCGGTGCATCATTTTTTGTAGTTGAAAAGGTTATTATCTATCAACATTTATCACATTTCTTTTAAAAACATAATATTAATTTTGTCACAGGGTGCATGCACATTGTACTAAAAATTCTCCTCTCTGTTGTCAGGTATTTGCTGCAATGAAACTACACATTTTTTAATATGATTCATTTCGCCGACATACAAGACTTTGCATTGAACCTGCTATTGTCCACAAGTGGAGAAATTGACAGAGTGAAATGCTAGAACAGCTCAGTCGAAGAGAGCATGTGATCGTTGGAGGAGAAATGAGGGCTGACCCCAGGTATTTAGACAAAAGATTTAATTTCTAATTAAATACAATCTAATAAAAAAATAAATATGAAATACATTACAATTATTCCAAAAATGTGTTTAAAATATTTATGCACAGTTTGTTCTTGAAGGTCACTCTGCCAAGTATGGGAGTTATACAATGATGGACCTTGCAACTAACACAGTGGTCGACCTACAGTTAGTCCAGGTAATACAGAAAAGTGTTATGTGAACTAGCATAATATTTTGGATGGAAAATGTGTGATTTTTATATATTTTTTTACCTTATTTAAAATTTTATAGAGTAATGAGGTGGGCGGCAGTTACCATATGGAAAAAGAAGGCCTAAAGAGAAGCCTTGACCTGTTGGATGCCCGCGGTGTTCGTCTGGAATGCATCATCACAGACCGACATCCTCAAATACAGAAATATCTCAGGGATCAAAATGTCACTCAGTTTTATGATGTGTGGCATATCGAGAAAGGTATGTAATTTAGCAGTTATTCATTTACTTAAGATCAAATTGCTTTTTACAGTTCTTACATGTTTATTATTATTTTTGTATTGATGTCTTTTTTTTTTTTACTTCATTTCCAGGAATTTCCAAAAAACTGGACAAGATATGCCAGATAAAGGGGTGCGAGAAGTTGCGTAAATGGTTACGTAACATTAAAAACCACATCTACTGGACTGCTGCATCATCCACAACAGGTCCTGAAAGAGTGGCAAAGTGGACCTCTATCTTGAACCATGTACAAGACAAACATGTACATGAAGACCCCAATTTTCAGGCTTGTGTGCATCCGCAACGGATAAGCAGAGACAAGAACAAATGGCTGTCGGCTGGTAAGTTGTATACAGACAAATAAAATATTTTTTCTTGATTAAAACTAATGCAAAACAGAGCTTGTTTCTTTGTTCAGATTTGTTTTCGATTCAGACTCTAATAACTTAAATAAATTTTTACTTGTTTAGCAACGATGCCATTCTACAAGCTGGAGAAAGTTCTCGCTAACAAGAGAATATTGAAGGATGTGGCCAAGCCAAGTCCTCGCCACCAGACGTAAACAGTTGAAGCTTTCCACAGCGTCATACTGCGGTTTGCACCCAAAAATGTGGTATTCCCATTTGTGGGGATGCTATGCAGGTAAAGCCACTGATCAGAAATTAATATTTACAATATCATACAGTCTTGTCATGGTACGTCATTTATATTTTTCTTTTTGTTAGGCTGTACTTGGCTGCACTGCATTACAATGAAAATGCCGGGCGTCCCCAGGCCACATCAGCAACTGGCAAACCTCTTTACAAGCTTGCCTTTCCAAAGGCAAAGAAAGGAGAGTATAGGGTCTGAGAAGTGAAGACACAGCAAAATTTCGGTATGTATATAAATGTTTATAGTATTATTAATAATTCAACAAATAAAAAAAATAATTGCACTTTACATTCACAATGAAAATTCACTACTCAAAATACAAAATTAAGTTACTAAAAAGATAACCGTTATATTGCACAGGTTATGTCGAAGAGCTGCTGGACCTCATCTTCAACGAAGTGTTTGTGGACTATGTTGATGAAGTGTTGGGAATTCACATACCACCTGCTCTATCATCAGCCTACGATCGACCTGAGATGGAGGAGGCTATCTCCAGCAGGGTGACCCGCTTCAATCAATGGCTATCCTAAAACCCACATAGCTGCCCTGCTCTTCAGGAAACTGTCTGCGAATCTTCAGCACCACACATACAGGAATCACAACACGGACTCTCCGCCCGAGGAAACCCCAACACCAGCCAACAAAGCTCTGATAAGCCAAAAAGCGGCACTGTCTAACAGAGACATAATAATGAAACATTGATTTAGAAATTGCACTACAATTTGAACTTGGGAGTTATCACATATTCATTTTTATTTTTGATAAAATAACTAGCTTTAACAACATTTCAGAAGTCATATTTTGTTTATTCAACTGCCAATGTATGTTTGTATGTGTTTGTAGATATACTGTACTTTCTAATGTTCATGGACAATTGTATTTCATTCAACAAAGTGACACAACTTGGAGTTATTTATATATATATATAGTCAAATATTTTATATTTGCGCAAGGATACATTTTATATTTGCCAATCACATTTTAATTTATACTTCAATATAAAGTTTTTATATGACTCAGGAATTGAAGCATCTTTCCTGAAGGGTTGATGTTTCTATGCCATACTGACTTTTATATATTTTAAAAGTTTATATATTAAAATGTTTAGTGAATTTAAAATAATTTTTCAATAAAAAGTACATGCATTACTCAGCCTTTTATGAAGTCATTCAAATTGTCATCTCAGAAATAGCAGCAATAAAAAAAGGTACGCATTTCATTTTTATTGACACTGAGGTAAAGTTGGTTTTATATTCAGATATTCAGACATTCTCCTTAATAGTATCATTTCAGTAAAGTAATCTTTGCAAATTCAAAATAGGGAAATCGTATTAGCAGCAAATGACAAAGTACAACATTGTTTACAGTCAAGTAGATATTGTTAATGTTGTTTACAAGTCATACTTGCATGCTAAATCCGATCGATTGTTTAAAGTACCATGGTAAACAATACAGGGACTTCTGAATGTGCGTATATAAAACCAACTTTATCGCTATTTTATTGACTACACTGCGTTAATGTGCTTAAAAAGAAAGCGATCATGCAGATCATGAACAAGGTAACCTGCTATTCTTTCAATTCATTTAAACTCACTTTTACACTCCATGAAGTCGCAGGGGACCATAGTCTGCTTTGTATATATTCAATGCATTTTGCAAGGAATAAATATTGAAGCAAACGGGATCCATTCCTTGATGCTCCGTCATGCACGAGGGTAGCACTTCCAGTTGATCCATTCGTCTTCTAACCTTATTACACGACACAGTTATGCTGTTTATTATCTCATTCGATGTCTTTAGAGCAGCAACGTTAACATAAACTGGAAATTTACCTGCGGTATCTCCCTGTAGCATACGTTTTCAGCCTCAGTTGGCATTTTTTCACAATTGCCACACAAGCACCTGCCATTATTTGTCAACGTCAATATTCATGAATTACGAATAAATCATATCAATGCAAAATTTATCTTTATGATAAATATTATGGATATTTTTATGTCTTGGGTGTGTTTAACGTAACGCATGACGTTCGCGAACTTTATCAAACAAATTACGGATGACGCATGCATAGTTACATAGTGGCTGTAAAAGTATACAAAGACATAAAATATTTTGTATGTACCACTCTGACACATTCTGGCACATTCAGATTATAGATTCCTCAACAGTCGACTCTGCTTGATCTGTGTCCGAGTCTGGGTCATATATGTAATGTTGAATTGTGTTCCTCTCACTCATGTTGACTCTTACTGTCTGCCTCTGTGATGCAGTGCACAAAGCAGACGCGCTCTTGGCTCCGCCCCCTTGTTACGTTGGGCGGGCAGTCGAAACTCATTATCATGTTAAGCAACACACCCCAAAACAGCAACCTGTGTACACGCCTCTAAATTTACACTTTTTAACACAGCATAATAACAATATCTGAATTGCGTTTTGATCTGAACCTACATTGGCACACTCAGAAGAACCATAATATTAGTATTAAATCTCAAAAAAGGGCTAAACTATGTGCCCTTTAATGAATTATAAATGAGTTGTTAAATAATAGTTAATAGTTGTTAATTATTTATAACTATTAGTTATAACTAGTCAATTGTCCATTATTAACTGTTATTTAACGAGTTGTAAATGACTTGTGTAACAAATAATGTAGATTAAATTGCACGCTTATCTACATGAATAATATGTAACAAATTATAATGTAGATTAAATTGCACTCATATCTACATGAATAATCTGTAACAAATTATAATGTAGATTAAAGTGCTTGCATATCTACACCATTATTACTGTAACAAATTAGCTCAAGGTTATTCTTCCCGCGCCTTTTCCACCGTTTTAATGTAGCGAGTTATGATCTAGATTACAGTGCTCGTGCATCTTCTGCACCATTATATATATATATATATATATATATATATATATATATATATATATATATATATATATATATATATATATATATATAT